AAGAGTAGCATTTAAAAACAAGGCAGTTTACTTTATACGGCTTTTTGGCTCTTACTCAACTGTACCAAGCATTCTGCATCTGCTTTTCAAGTCTTCAGACTACTGTATTAGTCATAGCCTCTCAGAGGGAGCCACAGGAACGGCGGGACAATGAGGATTAAAGGCCTTTCCCTTCTCTTCCAGGCTGCCCCCAAGTGTAGCCCTGGTGCTGTGAGGTTTCAGGGATTGGCAGAGGGGACCGAGGGAACCATGAAAATGGACATGGAGGATGCGGATATGACTCTGTGGACAGAGGCTGAATTTGAAGAGAAGTGTACATACATTGTGAACGACCACCCCTGGGAATCTGGTGCTGATGGCGGGACTTCGGTTCAGGCGGAGGCATCCTTACCAAGGAATCTGCTTTTCAAGTGTGCCACAAACAGCAAAGAGGTAAGCCTCTGGTTTATTGCCGAAGAAGATTGGGACCTGGCGCCAAATCTCCCTACTTGCCCTTGAGACCTTGTATATCTCTGAAAACCTCTGAGAATCTGTAAGTATCAGTAAATAATTGATTTCTGTATTCAATTCTTGCATTGCTTTCTCTTTCCCTAAATCATTTCCTTCTCATTTCCTCCAGCCTTCAACCGTTCCATCCTAGTTAGTAAACAGTTAAATATTTTGGCAAATTGACATGTCTTAGAAAAGTGCCTTGCAGCCTAGGGTGGGTGAAATTGTCAGTGTACTCAAACGTCAAGAAAGCTCTGGGCTGGACCCACTGGCCCTGTTGTACAATATCTCTTAAGGGAGAAAACTTTCTTAGAAAAAAATGTTTTAATGTTTCTTTTGTCTCCCTTTGGTAATTAGTTGGCTTTATTCTTTTTAACGAGCCAACTTTATTAGCTGGGTTTCTAAAATTATTCTCAAAACTTTGACGTGTTTATGAAGTAAAGTGATGGTATAAACCGAGAAAGGGGGTCATGTAAAAGTGTCCTCTGTCCGGATGACTTCAGAGCTAACCACTGTTTATCTGCGGCAGCTCCTTTGCTGGGGCTGGGCTGGCAGGCCAATTCCTTATTGGCCTCTGAAGTGGGTACACTCTTTGTTGTTTCAAAGGGGATGAAAACCCAAACTCGGAATGAGCAACTGATTTCTGTTTACCTTTTATATAAAGACTATAGTTAGGCGTGAAGTTTAGCTGTGAAATAACTTGAAGAACCACCTCTTGTTTTCAGAATTTGGCTTACTATAGTTGCACTCACTAGTCTACTACTGGCTGGAGTTGAATGAAGGGACCCCTCAGCAGACTTCCCACCACCACCGTTAGCAGGGAGCACTGTCAATTCTATTACTGCCTTCAGAAAATAGGGAAAAGAGGATGACTGGCCATAGGAATCCAGAATTTGCTACTAGGACTGTTCCTTATAGCCATGTCAAATCACTTTCCCCTTTCCCTGAGGAACAGTATTTGAAGGAATCCGGGAGCCTGTTTGGAAAAATCTTTGTCTCTTTCCTGTTTGTATGTCTGAGTCCAGTGTGTTTTTCTTTGGTGAGGGGGAGACACAGCTGTCTAAAATTAAAACAGAGCAATGCTGCTCAATCTTTCTTTTTTCCCCCCAGTGCTGGGCGAATGGAGGCAGACTTTATAAAAAGTAAAATTTAAATTCTAGTTGTACGGCAACATTATCAAAAACTTTAGCCCCAGAGGTCAGCCTTAATTATACCCCTTCTTGAAAGTAATGCTCTTCTTAATAGAAAGTCTCTTATTAATACATGGCCCTTGGAATTAATACAGGATTTGTTTAGGTATATAAGGTTTGACTGTGGCTTTAAAAGGTGTAGTGTGTTTTTTCCCCATATCAAGTTTGACCAAATATTGGTCTGTTCCCAAGGTTCATTTGTGCTGTGTTGCCCTGTTCGCCCTTTGGGACTGAAATAAAAATCTCCATTCTGTGGGTCATCTTTGCCTTTTAATTCCATAATGTTCTTATCCTCAGGTCAGCTCTTAGCTTAAGTTTTTAAAATTTCTGTCATTCTCCTTTAAAATCATAGCTAAGTCAAGTAATACCCTTAGATCATTTAGTTCAAGGTTCAGAAAGATAGTCGCTTACCCAAAGGTATATAGGTAAAGCCAGACCTGGGACTTGAAGCAAAGTTCTTCTGACTTCTCCAGTAAGTGCTTCTCGATTATGCTATACTGGCCCCTCTTGGTGTCACTGTGGTTTTAGTTATCATCTTAATATATTTCAGACCAATCCTTAAGCTATTTTGTGTTATTTTTTCCCCTCCGAATGTATAAGTCCCTATTTCAATATATTAAGCAACCCAAAAACAGACAGTGCATGTGTTCCTGAAGAGGGACCTTCAGAACTAACCTAAGAGCTCAGGGTTCTCTTACCCTGTTTCCCTATATTGTATTTAACTGAAGCACTTGAATAGAGGATAGTAAATCTTTAAACCCTAACCATAAAGACAAGCAAGAAGTAAACTTGAATGTAATACTGTCTTAAGCGAGTAAGCTTAAGAATTCGTACCTGTTTTTCTGTTTCTCTCCTTTGTTTTCAAACTTCGGGAAAGGAGAGCTCCCTTTAGAGATGGTGGAGTTGAGCCATTGCGGGTAGGAGAGCTGCAAACCAGTACACAGACAGCGATGTTAAGGATTGATGAATGTTTACTTGATCATTATTCAGTTAGTTCTTTAAGTTCCATGAGCCGTTGAAATAGGAAGTCTTTTTATCTGACTTATTAATCTCACCCTTCTTTAAATGTTTTCATTTAAATAGCAAAAGATGTTACAGTATGTACTATTGTGCTGACCTACTGGGGAATTTTTTTTTTACAACACCATTTTTCATTATGAATTTGTACAATGTGTCAGCACGTTTTTTTTTGGGGGGTGGTGGTTAAAAAGCAAAACATACAAATCATATTTCTGATCTTGACCCTCATTTTTAGATTGAGTTTAGAATCATTCTGTACCTTTAATAAAGCTGTTCTTACTTCCTATTTCCAGAACTAAAATCAAATATAGACCTACTATTCAAAACTTTGAAAATGTTTTAAACTGATGGGTTATTCTTTTATGGGGGTTTTCCCCTTGTCCTCCTGAAATAATCTCTTGTGACTACTTGACTACAGAAAAATCAGTTCAAGCATTCATATTTTAGAAGCGTTACCCTGTAGAGTTTCTGCCCTCAGTTGAGACTGCTTACACTCTAGAAACTCTGTGAGTCTCACCTCCCTGTATCTGGCTGATAAACATCAGACAGAATATGGGGACTCCCTCGGTGTCCATTCCGATTGAAGTCCATTATTAACTCAAGCCATCTGTAAAAAGTATCTCACCATCACATGCAATTCCCTCTTCATACTGCCTTTTATTTGAGAAATGATGAGCCAAGGCATCACCATTGTTTCCTGTAATAGAAAGATAATGAAGAAGGAAACCTTCCCCAAACACCTTTGTTCACTTCACTCCTTTTGAAAATTGGGTGATTGCCAAGCACAGTGGCTCATGCCTGTAATCCCAACACTTTGGGAGGCCAAGGAGGGCGGATCACCTGAGGGCAAGAGTTTGAGACCAGCCTGGCGAAACCCTGTCTCCACTAAAAATACAAAAATCAGCTGGGCGTGGTGACGCATGCCTGTAATCCCAGCTACTTGGGAGGCTGAGGTAGGAGAATCACTTGAACCTGGGAGGCGGAAGTTGCAGTGAGCTGAGATGGTGCCATTGTACTCCAGCCCTGGCAACAAGAGCAAAACTGTCTCAAAAAATAATAATAAAATAAAATTAATTAATCAAATAAAAATGGGGTGACTGCATGCCGAAGGTCTTGGTTACTATTGAGTTCTAGTCCTCACAAGACAAACATTCGTATGGTCAAAACAATTATAATCTAACGAGTCATTCTTACAGAGTGGGATTCAGGGAGGGAGAAGAGATAACTAGTAATTTAAATGATCTTAATGTAATTTGGGGAGAAGATGATCAGATGACGTTTAGACTTGGATATTGTTTCTGCTTAAAAGCCACTGCTGTGTGTGTTTGCATACTCTCTAAAGAAGGAATTTGCTTTTTAAAAAAAGCCTATATTGTCCTTTTTATCAGACTTTCATTAAGCACTCCAACTCAACCCATCCTAAACTGTAAAATCTCCTTCATTTTGTAAAATTGAAAAGAAGCCCTGTGTTTTGTCTAGAAGCTGTAGACGTCAGGGTGTGTTCTATAACTGAGGCCACTTACAGAGACAAATCTGCCCAATTGGTGGAGGGGTCTGCACCGCACATAAAGAGCTTCTGTGGGAGCAGGTGAAGCAGGGAGGTATTGAAGCCTGGTGTCCTCTTGCTGATCGGTTTATAGAAGGCACACAGCGGCCTGTCCCCAGTAGTAATTCTTTAGGACCCTGGTCAGTTCCAGTGAAGTTTCCTTCCTCAGTTAGGTGAACAAATTCTTTGTCTTTTTAGCACTATGAAGTTTATGGCACACACCAGGTTCCGCCTTCATATTTGCTTGCTTCAAAGATAGACTACTATAAACTATGAGTCAGGGAGACAGGTTATCTAAGATGCACATTCTGGATCTTTCTAGGACCAGAGGGAGAGTTAGTACTTGGTTTTCTACTCCCCTTTAAAAACAATCCTGGTTCCTATTCCGCTCCAAAGCTACCTGGACAAGCACCATAGTCTTAGAGTGTCAGCTTTTATGTCATCTTTGAGTAATGTCTCAGCGTGCATTTGAGATGAAGATGTTTATTGTGTATTAGAATGCTAGACTTAGAATGGATATAGGTGGTTTGTAAGTGCTTCCAATTTTGAAATTTTATGATTTTTGTATCTTTATGTATAGATGTGAGTTTATATGTGCCCTATAGCACTGAATATAATTGAAATTTAAAATATTAGTGCTCTGTCCCTTTCCTAACGATAACCTAATATGAAGCTCTTTAATTTGTCTGGAGCTTGAGGGTTATCATAGAGCTCTCTTCTACCACAGAGCCTTCTCTTTTTAATTGTCCTCATGTCTTGCCTGTTGCACTGCATTTGTAAGGTTAGAGATGGCAAGAGCTACTTCCAGTGCTGCTTTTATAGCTCACTACTGACTAGTCCATAGTTGTGTTCAAATAGGTTTTGGGCAGCTTATGCTTTCTAGTTGACTTATTTTGGGGCACAAGAAAATGAGTGTTTATTTCGTGTAAGATTGATGATAGCTGAAAACCTAGAGGCCCATTCTGTAAAAGAATGGCAGTTTGGAAGAAGAACCGTGACCTCAATGCAGTGCTCCTTGTTAGTAATCAAGCTCTGACTCCCAGGACACCATCTGTAAGAGACTATAATTTAAAACAAAGTGGATGAACCAGTTGAGTGCCTTTCTTAAAATTACTGCTGTAAAGTAGATATGTTGAAAATATCAACTGCTAATTATTGGCTCACCAACAAATGGCATTATTTGTTTTTCCTGTTTGTCGTTCTGATATTATGGAATAATCACTGAAATATGAATGCCAAATGATTTGCATGTCATAGAATTCAATTCCATGAATTTTCCAAATTAATTAGATTCAATAATAGTATGTCCAAAACAATGAGCCTCTGAATAAGTAAGTCTACTAAAGCTTTAAATATATATATTTATATCTCAAGGCTGCTCTGAGATACTCTCGTCCCCAGTAGTTTACTGCCAACAAATACCACTAATGACAAACTGTGATTAAAAGGGGAGATAGATGTAAATGAAGGCAGAGGAGGAGGATGGAGTGAACATCTGCTTTTTTCAACTCTCTGACAGAAATTCATAAAGCACCAAAAATAACACTCTTGTTTCAACTTGTGTTAGGTGTAGGAAAATTTTCTTTTTTTCTCTTTCCAGTCTGAGTATGCTTCATTGATTTGTATATTGAATACTAAATTGTTTCAGAAAAAAAAATGATCGGTTGGTAAGGTACTTAAATGAGAAAAGCTAGTCTGTCACAGGCACATAGGTGTGCCTTATCTATTTAAATAGAGGTTTAAATGATTAATGAAAGTCCCTTAATGAGGAACTAGAGTATAGTATAACCAAAATCGTAGATTCCACTGCGAGCAACCCATGTACATTGATTGATTCACATATTTGGGTCTACCGTTTCAGGTACATGAATGCACAGGAGCTACTAGGGATATAAAATCTGGAAAATAAACATTATCATCTGTTGCCCCTCCCTCCTCCTTGGCCCATTTCAGTAATGTAGTTAGTAGGTAATTGGTAGGCTGTCTTGAATGAGAAGAAAATAAAAATAGGAAAGTGAGAGAATAAAAACCAAAACAAAACTGTAACTGCAAAATGTTGTAAAAGACTGCTCACAGGGGAGTTCTATTGAATAGTGACGAATTGCTTCCTGATTCATGGTTGGTGATTTTTTTACCCCCTCAAAAAGAGAAATTTATTATTAAGGAGGAACTGGTATAGTTATGTTTCTTTAGCAAGGCCCTACAAAGTTAAAACGTGTGATGCATCCAGTCTGAGGTCATTTCCTCAGATCTTAGAACCAACAGCTTTCCTCAGTATAAACTTAATTTCAAAGGAGTCCTTTGGCCAAGCGTAGTGGCTCAGCCTGTAATCTCAGTACTGTGGGAGGCTGAGGCGGGAGGACCACTTGAGTCCAGGAGTTTGAGACAAGGCTGGGCAACATGGTGAGACCCCTTGTCAACAACAACAACAAAATAGCTGTGGGTGTGGTGGTGCATGACTCTAGTCTCATCTATTCAGGAGGCTGAGGTGGGAGGATCACTTGGTCCTGGGAGGTCGAGGCTGCAATGAGCTAAGATTGAGCCACTGCACTCCAGACTGAGTGACAGAGGGAGACCCTGTCTTTAACACACACGGGCCTTTGACCACTCTTGAGTAGAAGACTGGAGAAGAACAAAGTAGAAGACCAGAGAAGAAGAGTTACTTGAAAGATCTTTTATTAAAGAGAATATGCAAGCTATGAAAAAACAAAACAAAACAAAACACACAAACCTCATATGGAATGAAAAAAACACAATGCATTTGGTTTCTGGTTCCTTGGACTGTTGTGGAACAACCAAAGAGCATTATTTTGGTTTCTGAGGTTAAACCTATTTTATTCCCCTCAAGCACACTATACTTATGGTTTGAGGGAGAAGGAGAAATAGGAAACTAGGGACAGGCTGAAAGGGTCTAATCTTGACTGTCTAATTCTGCAGTATCTTATTCTCATTCTATAAGAAAATGGTTATCTTCTCTGTTCTAGTGTGAAAAATAATGTTACAACTAAAGGATCCTTTATTACCAGACAATAATCCCCTAAACTGGTTTAATGCTTGGTTGAGTATTTGCTCACCCTAAGGTGAAGCTTGTTCATTATGTACGCATCATTAATGTCTGTTCTACTTATCAAAATTTTATTATTGTTAGCTGTATTGCCACTTGATAGTCCAGTTTATTCAAATGAAGGACTGGTGAACATTTTACAGTTAATGTAATTGTTCCTATGTTTTTTCCTCTTTAGGTTATTGGCGTGATGAGTAAAGAGTACATACCAAAGGGCACACGTTTTGGGCCCCTAATAGGTGAAATCTACACCACTGACACAGTTCCCAAGAACGCCAACAGGAAATATTTTTGGAGGGTAAGTAAGGGAAATTTCTCCAGACTCATTAAGTATTAGGAAAAAATGGAGCTACAAGAGCTGGGTGGGTTACCTCCTTTCTCATCCTGTGCTGAGAAATGCTGGGCTCACCCATAAGTATCCAGGATCTCATGGACACAGGGAATTCTGAACAAATGTGATGAAACCGATGAAATGCTTGGCCTGTAGGTGGTTAGTGATGGAGATATGGGCTATATGTGAATCTTGATTTTTGCAATTCATTAGAGTTTTGTGATGAAAGGAAACAGTTTGTTGCCTTGCTTTAAGGTAGTAGGTTCATTTGCATTTCTCTGCAAGGAAGTAGTAATGAGTCACCAAGCCTTAAATTTCACCCCTTTTTGATTTCTTGCTGACTTAACTTTAATTGAATTGAATAGTTATCGCAAATGAATAATCTTTTTTTTTTTGAGTGGATTCTCATTGTCGCCAGGCTGGAGTGCAGTGGTGCTATCTAAGCTCACTGCAACCTCCGCCTCTCAGGCTCAAGCACTTCTCCTGCCTCAGCTTCCCAAGTAGCGGGGACCTTAGGCGCGTACCACCATGCCCAGTTAATTTTTGTATTTTTAGTAGGGACAGGGTTCCACCACGTTGGCCAGGATGGTCTCAGTTGCTTGACCTCATGGTCTGCCCACCTCAGCCTCCCAAAGTGCTGGAATTACAGGTGTGAGCCACCATGCCCAGCCAGGAATGACACAAATGAATTATCTTAAAAGTAAATGCCATTAAGGAAGGATAGCTGGAAGATGGAGTGAGGAGAATGGAGAAAGGACCACAGGGCTAGTCCCATTTAAATACATGTGCCCCATAAAACGATTCCATTTGACAATAAGTTAATTATCTCATAGAATAAGGAAAATACAATAATGCAGGATGATAAGCTTTCCTTTATGACATCCAACCAAAAAAGATCTAGCTAGTACAATTTCCTTTGCTATATTAGAAAGGCCGCTAGAGGTGAACTAATTAGATGGAATCCTTGAGTAAAAGACTGGATTAGCAGTGAAGAGAAAAAAGTCAGATTGCTTTCCTTCTTCCCATAGATGTCTCAGGGATATATTCAGTTTCCTCAGTTAGAAAATAAAGATATGGTTACTTAAATTTAGTAAGCGTTTTTATGCATACTTACATGAAATGTACATTATTTGAATTCTTTAAAAAGAAACAGCTGCATGATAACAAAAATTGTGTTATGTTTGCTGTAGCTGATATTTTGCCTAGAGCACATATCTTTCGGACAAGTATCCTAGACACTTCTGCTAGTGAATCACTCAGAAGGTATTCCTAAGAAACAATATTTTTAATCCAGGAAGTTTTGCATTTTTAGAAATTTATCTTACCATTTCCCAAGCAAAAGAGGGACAGATTCACTAAGAATCATGTGCTAATAATTTTATTTAATAATTATTCCTGCTGAAAATGTATTAATTAATAATGTTGGAACCGTGAGTGCATTTTTGCCTTTATTGCCAATAAATTCTTCTCAGAAGTGAGCCATAAAGGTGCATACTTCTTGGAGTTAAAGGTCTGAATTAAGACAGTCCAGCATAAGTCTCATTAATGTGTGATCATTTTGAGAAAAGCCAAGAAGCACCTAAGAATCTCCCCCTCACTGTCCTGGTTCCCTGTTTCATTTAAAGATTCACTATAAGTAACTGGAAGGCTTTCCTTGGGAGGATTTATTTGAATCAGTCTTTCACATGCAGAGGATATTGTAGAACATCCCAGTTTTGCTGGCAGGAATATGAACATCTGTTCTGAGGAAAGAAAAAGTTTCATGCAAATTACACAGCCAAAGAAGAGAAGGGCTGTTCAAGTTGAGAAACCAGTGACATTTCTTGTAACTGAACTATGAATCAGCACATTTTAATCTTGATAATATATGGAAGTGCAATAAAGTGGTAGGAAATAGTGTTCATTTTACGTATGCGTTATTTTATTTCCTTGTGTGTATGTGAGTGACTTCATGGCATCGACATAGCTGTTTTTAAATGAGGATACAGTAAATTGCAGTCCGAGGAAGGCTAACTGGAATCAACATACCTGTAGCTTTAGAAAGCAGCTTCCGCCCCAGCGAAGAGTGCAAGAGCGATGGAACCCCATGTTCCTGGAAGTTTGCACATCAGAGTAAACAAACTTGAAAACCCCTCTTGATAGCAGAATTCACCCAGCCTTGTTCCATTTTCTCTTAACAAAACACACCGCAAAAGCTCTCACAAGCTGCTTTGATGAAGCCACATGTATTTCCCCCTTCACAATTTACAGGAAGTTACTCTTAAAAGAAAGTGATTCTGATGTTTACCGCCTGTGTTAAAGGGACAGAGTTCCTTTTTATTTCTGATAACGTTTGAGCGAAATACAGAAACTGTCCGTAGACTAGCACAGTTGGTGCGTGAGTAAGGAAAAGCAATAACCTGCTGTCCGGTAAGAGCAAAATTCCTGCTACGAACAGTGCCTTACTGACTACTTGGAGACTGCAAGTCACAGAGGACACCAGGTATTGACTGATTATGTACGTGTTAAGGAAAGGTCTTAAAGTCTAAAGAAAATGTGGTACCTCCTAAAAAGAGGGAGAGAGAGAGCACTTTGTGTGGAAGGATAAGGAGTGTGTTTATAGTTTCAGTAAGAGTGTACATTTTAATTTTTCTCTTTCCCTCTGCCTCTTTGCCAAGTGGCCTGAGTGCATCTGTTAACCAGAAGTAGTATTTCTCTAGGACAAACTTGAAATTTCTTCATTATGCGTTGCCTTTAAGGAACAACATACTTTCTTCCTGTTCGTTTTCCAAAAACACAATGCCTGTGGCTGTGTGTGTGGTGTTTCAGCCAGCCTCCTCCCAGATAAGGGGTTCCCTCTTCCCTCCTTTGGATTGAAAGGAAAGAGCAAGGCTGGACACGTTTATCACGAGGAAAAGTGACTTCTCAGTAGTAGACTGTCAAACTCTGGCTGCTGCCCCAGTGTTCACTTTGTTATGGCAGGTGAAGTTCACCTCTGCCCCACCCAGTGCTTCCACAAAAAGGCAAGGTTCCAAGTATTCATATGAACAAGTGTTACTTTAGGACTTGGAGGGTTGGGGGTGGAGGATGTTTGCATAGTTGAAGCCTTGGGCGGGGGTGTAGGAAACTGCGAGTACAGAGGCCATAGAAAAAGCTGAGACTCAGTTTGACGTCGTCAGCCGGCTTAGTCCTCTACCCAGTGACTCAAAGCACTAAAAGTCAGCATAATCAGAACTGAAGTCAGTAGCTCGCCCATTTGCCATTCACTGCAGTAGCAAAAGTAGTACTCTGTGGTGGGTTAAGAGGTTTGAGGCAGCTCCTTAAATGAACATTTGTGTTTCATTTTTCTGTTATTTTCCCGAACATGAAAAGACGATAAAACTGAAATGGAAAAGGTAACTGACAAAGTGTGCCTTACCTGTTTCCGCCCTTATTTCTGCTGATTCAAGACTACACTGGCTAAACTGATTTGATTTCTTTTTCTAACGAGGCAGTAGGGGATCGGAAATCACACACGGTACGGGCTGTGTTTATCCTAAGAGGTGCTGGAGAGCTTTGGGGCTGACTTCCTTTTACATGCCTGTCTTCTCTTTTGGACAGATCTATTCCAGAGGGGAGCTTCTCCACTTCATTGATGGCTTTAATGAAGAGAAAAGCAACTGGATGCGCTATGTGAATCCAGCGCACTCTGCCCGGGAGCAAAACCTGGCTGCGTGTCAGAACGGGATGAACATCTACTTCTACACCATTAAGCCCATCCCTGCCAACCAGGAACTTCTTGTGTGGTATTGTCGGGACTTTGCAGAAAGGCTTCACTACCCTTATCCCGGAGAGCTGACAATGATGAATCTCAGTAAGTGGATTACAGAACAAAAAAATAAAAAATGCCAGTAATGTCGGTTCTGCCTCTGTGAACTAATAACATGTTGTTTAATTATATGGCTTCATCATCTGTTGGACAAAGTAGGTGGCTTAAGCTAGGGACTAGGAAGAGGAAAAACCTTCTTTGAGTCCCTATTAACTATTATGAAACTTGATCATTTAAATATATTATATATGAAGAGCTACTTTGAGTTTTGAATTCAGAATGTTATAAGAAGAAATATATGTCCAATTCTAATTTATTCATAAGCAGTTGGGAGAATTACAGGGATTGGTCCAGTCATGCTGAGTATACAAGGTATAGCCCTTGTTTGAGGTACTTTGTCAGGGCTTAGACTGCATCAAAACATTTGTAGATACACATTTGAATGTACAGTTAGGATCTGATGTGGAACATTGTGAGATCATTGCTAGAAAAACTTTGTCATAAATTTTCAAGTATTATTCTAAATGAATAAGCGTAAAGATTTTATATCTTAGCTTCCTTCCTTACAGTAAAAAGCTAATTATCTGATCTGATCAGTATTACGGCAGCCACCTATCACTTTATCTTAACAAATTCTCGATTCTTAGGTTTATATGCTTTTACTTCTTTTATTTGATTAAACTTGCTGTCATGACCTCTCTCTGCAAAGGGCTACACCATTTGAGTCATTCTCAAGTGATCTCTGTGAGCGATTTCAGAATTGCCGTAAGATTCTAACCTCTGCTAGAACTATGGTTGTGCGTTCATGGTTAGACTACTATATCTTATTAGCAGTTTTAAAAGTTAGTACCTTTTGGTTTAGTTGTTAAAACTAGATGCTCAAGTTTTTGTAACTTTTTGTTTTGATATCTTTTCAAACTTAAGAAAATATTTTAAGAAAGGACAAAGAATTTCCAGTTACCCTTTACCCAGGTTTGCCAATTGTTGATATACTGTCCGTTTGCTTTATTGGAAGGCTAAATTGTTTTAGTTCACATTTTCACCTTTGAGACATTTGGACTAAATATCAATGTTAACATAAATTGGAATTTCATCTTTGATTTTAGGACCAACAAGCAAACCAAGTACTTATCCTAGCCATAAATAATCCAACTGTATGGTTATTTGGTGTTCATTCCACACTTCATTTTACTTCATCTTCCTTAACACAGCAAGATTGTGTTTGCAGTTTTCTGAAAATCCGGGGCTATAAAAGCAGCAGGACCTCCCTAGTAGAATCCCATTTTAAGACGTGTGTTTGGGGCCCGTATACAAAAGGATACCCTTGAGCTTCAGGAAAAGAACTGGCTTCCAGGCCCCCAGTTCCAGCTTGATGGGTCTAATTAGGTCCTGACCAAAAAGGTGGCAGTTCTTTTCCCTCACTTCTCTTCAGTGCTTCCCGAGACTCTGTCATTTCCCTATCGCTGAGCCTGCCAGGAGCTATTCAGCTGTTACGGCATCTGTGTGTGCCAGGCCCAGTGGTGAGGGCCTGGAGCAAAAGACAAACGCACAAGCACAGCAGCACTTTTGTGGCGCTCATATGCCAGCCGGGCACCTCAGAAGCATGCAGCTCCCTCCTGGCTTTCTCAACATGGTGAGCCACTTCCTCTTAAAGGTCTCCTTACGTTCTTTGAGTTTAATCATTCATGGATTCAGAGGAAAGTCTTTTGATTTTTGTTTTTCTTTAAACAGTTCATTTGAGGTGACCCATCCCAGTGACTTTGCATCAACCACCAAGAAACTTTTTTGCGTACTTCGCACACCCTGTGCCAATCAAGGGAAGGGTTTAAGGGCCTGGCATTTTTATTCCCCAAGGAAAGGCTCTGCACAGCATTTTAAGGTTCAAGTGCTTCTACTTTGTGTTCAGAAGCAACTTTCATATATACTGTGAAATGACACCTTTTATTTATCCCTGTTTATTTATGCAGAATGTATCCCCCTTTTATTTTGGCAGAATGTTTTCTGAATGGTGGCTTAGCATTTTCAAGTACATTTCATTGTCCAATATTGATAGTAAAGAACGAGAGTTAACAAATACCCAGTCACATTAAAACAAGATTCCTGCTGCCAGTTGTGAAACCAGTTGTCTTAGGCGTGGCAGGTGATGATTGAGACTGTGATCAGGAAAATTTCCACTATTTCATCAGGCCTAATAGGTAGATTGTGTCTCCAAATGAATTGTTTTGGGTTTTCGTGCTTAAAGCACAACAGAGGCGGTGCAAGAATCTCCATGAGGTCTTAAATGGCAGTGATGGTTCAGATGGTAGAGGTTGAAGGAGGGATTTGAAACAAACCAAAGTAAAGAAAATTAAGTAGCCAGAAATCACAAACTGGCATTTTTCTAAAAACAAAGGAAAAGGAATAAAAGAACTAATAAAATTGAAACCCCTACCCCTCCCAAATTTGGGGGGTATTTTTTTTTCTGTCTATCTAACTAAACCATCTAGAAAACAGTTGACCAAATTATAGACTTCTAAATGTTAATCTGCTTTCTCAGTTTCAGTTGAAAAGAGACTTTGTTTTGCCTACTGCAGAACTTCTAGGTTCTTTCTTGTAGTCTTGGGGTTCTTATTATAGATCGAAAATGTGAGTCGGCATAATTAAGCCATTCAGAGCCTTGAGAAGCAGTTCACTCTTGAAATGACTCCGTCCGCCTACAGCCATTTAAGATTTCAGAACAAAAACAGATCTTGATTTTCTTTTTCATGTTAACTCAAGCTGCTGCTGAGTGGGAGAGTCAGAAATGACACCAGCTCCACTGATTACTCAGCTGCCGAAGGATGATTTTTAAAAATGCACCTTTACTGTATATGGACTTCATAATTTCTACCTGTAGAGCATCTTAGGGAGGCTAACATGTCACTCTGGATGTTCTTTTAGAATAAGGTGTGAATCTATTTTTCTGAAGGCATTAGAGCTGGCAAACATTGTGAATTTACTATATACTGGGCACTGTGCTAAGTATTTGGCATAGAAAGTTTAAAATTTTGGCCGGGCGCGGTGGCTCAAGCCTGTAATCCCAGCACTTTGGGAGGCCGAGGCGGGTGGATCACGAGGTCAAGAGATCGAGACCATCCTGGTCAACATGGTGAAACCCCGTCTCTACTAA